TACTGCACTCCAGCCTGGGAAACAAAAGGAAGACTCCAACTCAACTATATATATATATATATATATATATATATATATATAATTCAACCTCTTGAAGTTTTTAATATAGCTTAAAGGATCTCTTCAAAAATACTTCTTGTAGTGAAGAATTGGAAAGTAAAAATTCTTATTTTATTTTATTTTATTTTTTTTGAGGTTGGAGTCTCACTCTGTCACCCAGACTGAAGTGCAGTGGCCGCTCCCGGCCACCGCAGCCTTGACCTGCTGGGCTCTGGAGATCCTTTCGCCTCAGACTTCCAAGTAGCTGGAACTACAGGCGCACGCCACCACACTCGGCTAATTCTTGATTTATTTTAGAGATGAGGTCTCACCAAGTTGCCCAGGCGGGTCTCAAACCCACGGGCTCAGGCAATCCACTCACCTCAGCCTCCCAAGGCACGGGATTACAGGCTGAGCCACCGAGCCTGGCTAAAATTCTTATTTTAAAGATAGCATGTATATATATGATATAGCATTTAAAAAAATACTTCACTATGTCTGCTCCTTCTGTCTGTACAACTTCATAGATGAGTGTCTGTGGAAAGTTTGATGGTTGTTTGGGGGGAAGATTGAATTGGGGAAATGTTTTTTCGTGAAATATAGAGAAAAAGGCATGTAAAATATGAACTTATGGTTTCACTAATTATCATAAAGCAAACAGCTGGATACACACTACCAGCACCCTCCGAGTCCATGTGGTATCTTTCTCAATGCTGTCCACCAAATTTAATCATCACATGATTTTGTGGCAATCACTCCCTTGAATTCTTCATACTTTACCACATAAATATGTATCTCTAATACATAGTTTGACCGTTGCTGAACTTTACATTAATGGAATCACCCACAATGCAACTTTTTGTGAGCTTCTTTTTAGCAGAAAATGGGTGTCTTATTGTGGGTTTAGTTTGTGTTTCTCTGATTATTGGTGAAGTTGAGATCTTTTCATATATGTAGTAGTTATTTGGGTAGCCTCTTTGATGGATGACCTTTACAATTATCTTTTTTGTTTTTCTACTGATCTATCTTTTTCTTACTGATTTGTAGAAGTTCTTTACATATGCTTAGTTTTGGCTCTTTGGGGGTTATTTTTGTTGCAAAGAGCTTCTCTCTTGGGCTTACTTTCTCATTATATTAGTGATGTCTTCTGATGGACAGAAGTTCTTAATTTACTGTAGTTAAGTTCTTAATTTACTGTAGTTAATTTTCCTTTATGGTTAGTGTCTTTTGACCTCTGTTAAGTAAATCTTTCCCTATCCTGAGGTCCTTATAGTATTCCCCAATACTGAATTCTAAAAATGTGATTGTTTTGCCTCTCAAATTTAGTTTACAATCTACCTGGAAAAGATTCTTGTGCATGAGATGATGTAAGATCAAGTTTCTTTTTTTTTCCACAAGAGTATCTGCTTTTCCCAGGACCATTTATTGAAAACATCATCAAAACTATCCTTCACCCACTGTTCTGTGGTACCTACTTTGTACAGTCAAGTGTCACGATATGCATGGGTCTGTTTCTGGCTGCCCTATTGTGATGCAGAGGTCCATGCGAGCTGGGGGCATCCAGAGGAGAGAGAGGGGCATCTTCACTGAGTGGGATATGCATGGGAGGGATTCCAGGAATTTTATCTTTTTTGCTGGAGTCACCACTCACCACTGGCAGGTAGGAGAGTCAGAGTGGCTTGAATGCAGATGGGTGGGATTGAGTCCCTGAAAATTGTTAGGACTCTCCCTGGCCTAAGCCTTGGCACACACTTCACAGGACACATCTGGAATGAGCAGTGATGGTGTCCTGTATAGTAGGCAAACTTCTACTCATGCCGGGGCACAGGATTCAAGTGTTGCCCTGGACAAGTCACTGGCCTTTGGCCTTCCCAGGTAAACCAGGATCTTCTGGGATGCTTCTCATTTAAGCCAGAAAAATTGTTGGTACAATTGTTGAAAATACAAGAAATGCTGTGGATTATCAGGTCAGTTAGGATGCATCTCAGATTCTAGGCTGAGTCCTGGGCAAAAGCTGGAGACAAGGGCAATGTAAGCCTGAGGAGACCTGTGCTTCAGCAGTGAAGACTGAACTGCGTCTTTGGGCCATCCAGTGACTCCAAAGGAGGGATCGTGGCTCACTCCCCTCTCAAGCCCGGTCTACAGAGGCAGATGGCAGAACCATCTTAGAGGGACCTGAACTTTGGGAATTGGGTCTTGAGTGGCTTGGGACCTGGGCCCTGTGTTCATGGGGTGGGGACTGGAGGTCCAGGAGAGTTACTTTTTTTTTTTTTTTTGAGTTGGAGTCTCACTCTGTTATCCAGGTTGGAGCACAGTGGCACGCTCAGGACTACCGCAGCCTCAACCTGCTGGGCTCAGGTGATCCTTCTGCCTCAGCCTTCCAAGTAGCTGGAACTATAGGTGTGCACCACCACACTTGGCTAATTTATCTATTTATTTATTTATTGTAAAGAAGAGGTCTCACCATGTTTCCCAGGCTGGTATCAAACATGTGGGCTCAGGCAATCCTTTCGCCTCAACCTCCCAATATGCAGGGGTTACAGGTATGAGCCACCATGTCCAGCCTGAAAATTACTTTTTCTAGGAGTCACAAAAAGAACCTTTGGCAGGCTTCAGATTGCACATGTATTTACACGTTATCCTCTCTTCTTTACAATAGCTCAGGAAAGTAGACCCAAACATCCACTCTAACACAGATGAGGGGGCTTAGAAAAGGTAATCAACTCCTTCAGGTCACACAGTCAAGACTCAAACCACTGCTTTGGTTGTTGCAGATCCATATTTGACCATACTTAAAGCGGGACCCCAGAGGCTGAGCAGCTAACACAGGATGCACTTGGGGGTGAGGGAGATTTATGGCTCTAGAAGGGCCAAGCGCTGGTGGGGCAGGAGCCATGGTTAAGTTGGGCAATGCCCAGGGATGTAGAAAGGAGCCAGGCTCCTAAAAACATGACTTTGTCTATACCTAAAGTGTGTGGTGGCATTCAAAGTCCATCATAGCCCATCTGTCCAGACTCATCTGCCCAGGATCTCCACAAAACTTAAGGAGCACTCACTCCCAGGGTCATGCAAGTCTCTTCACTCCCACTTCTCCGTCCTGCTTTCATCCATCTTGCTTTCACTCAGACAGGGTCTGGCTCCGTTGTCCAGGCTGGAGTGCAGTGGTGCAATCATAGCTCACCGCAGCCTTGAATTCCTCGGCTCTGGCAATTCTCCCGCTCTGCTTCCCAAGTAGCTGGGACTATAGGCACACGCCACCATGCTTAGCTAATTTTATTTTACTATTTGTGGAAATGAGATCTCGCTATGTTGTCCAAGCTGGTCCTGAACTCCTGGCTTCCAGTGATCCTCCCACTTTGGCCTTACAAAACGTTGGGATTACAGGTGTGAGCCACTGTACCTGGACTGACCTCATCTTTTAATCCCCGGGAGCCCCCAGGTCCTGGGCACTGCAGGGTTCACAGCTGGAACCCAAAAAACATGTGTCAGTGGCCAAGTCAGCCTCCAAGTAGTTGAAACCACAAGGATGTACCACCTTGCCGGGCTAATCTATTTGTGATTGATTGTAGAGACAGGGTCTCGCCATGTTCCTCAGGCTGGTCTCATACCCCTGGGCTCAGGCAACCCTCTCGCCTCTGCTTCCCAAAGTGCTGGGATTACAGACGTGAGCCACCACGCCGGCTAGCCTCATCTTTCTTTCCTCTAGGTAAAACGGCCTAGCCTGGGAAGGGCAGGTTCTCGTGTGCCACGTGATCCAGGGGAATTCTGGTTTGCCCAGTGTCCGAACTTCACCTTTGCCAGCGGTAGATGAGATGGGCGGGAGAACCCCAATGTCTGAGCAAGATTCAGAAAGTCCGAGCCGGAAAGTAAAGGCCGTTGAGTCCCACGCATTCTTTTTTGCATGCGGTCCGATGACTTGCTCCAAGTCACACAGCTACCTCAGGTCAGGGACTACCTAACAAGATGTTGGATGTGATCTCATCATGGAAAACTCGGGACGCCGCTCGCTGATGGACACCAAGTGTATCGACGCTCTACTTACGAGGACTGGAACCGTGAGCGGGGTGGATCTATTGCTTTTGCCTGACAGCCAATGCTGATCGTTGATTGGTCCCGGTTCAGAAACTAGATAAAGGGTGTGCCCGAGGGACCCACTGCCTTGGGGCCTGCGCAGTGGTGGGAATTGGCCATGGCGTCGCTCAGCTGCAGCACTGTGGTCTGCGTGATCTGCTTGGAGAAGCCCAAGTACCGCTGCCCGGCCTGCCGCGTGCCCTAGTGAGCGGCGGGCGAGGGAGACCGGGGGGACCTGGAGGGCTGCGGGAGGGTCGCGCGGCCTTCGGGCTGACGCCGCCTGTGGTCTCTGTTGTTACAGCTGCTCGGTGACCTGCTTCCGGCACCACAAAGGTGAGGCCTCCGCGTGCCCGCCTCAGCCCTCTGTCCCTACCCGCGCCGGGCAGCCCCCACGCCCGCCCTCGTCTCGGCGGCGTGGATCCCTCCAGCGCGCCTCCTCCCGGCCTTTCTTCCCCTGACGGGTCGGAGCCCCTCAGCCCTCCAGGCTCTCCTGCCTCGGGTTTCCGCTGTTCTTTGCTTCCTCTGGCTGGGTCCCCGGTGTCCTGTCTGCCGCAGATGCCTTTCCAGATTTTGTACCTTGCCACACTCTTATTTATTTTTCGAGTCGGAGTGTCACTCCTTTGCCCAGGCTGGAGTGCAGTGGCGCGCACGCTCACGGCCACCACAGCGTTGACCTTCTGGGCTCCAGCGATCCTTCCGGCTCAGCCTTCCAAGTATCCTGAACTAGAGACGCGCGCTACCACGCCCGGCTAGTTTTTATTTTATTGTAGAGACGAGTTCTCGCCGAGTTGCCCAGGCTGGTCTCGAACCTGCGGGCTCAGGCAGTCCACTCTCCTCGGCCTCCCAAAGTGCTGGGATTACAGGCTGAACCACCGCTCCGGCCAACACACTCTTTTTTTAAAAAGATAAACCGGGTGCGGTGGTTTACGCCTGTAATCTCAGCACTTTGGGAGGCTGAGGTGAGAGGTTTGCCTGAGTCCGCGGGTTCGAGACCAGCCTGGGCAAATTGGCAAGGCTTCGTCTCTACAGTAAATAAAAAAAATTATCTGGGTGTGGTGGATCACGCCCGTAGTTGCAGCTACTTGGAAGGCTGACAGAGTGAGACTCCAACTCAAAAAATCAAAATAATTAGCCATGGATTGCTTTTCTCACAAGTCTGCCCTAGTTGTTTCTTCCTTTTAGCCTTTTGGTGTAGCTCCTCACCATTGGCTACACTGCTACGGATAGCAAGAACGTTTTATCTGGCTTTTTTTTTTTTTTTTTTTTTTTGAGTTGGAGTCTCACTCTTGTCCAGGCTGGAGTGCAGTGGCACGCTCACAGCCACCGCAGTCTCGACCTGCTGGGGTCAGACTATCCTTCTGTCTCATACTTCCAAGAAGCTGGAACTACAGGTGCACGCCACCATGCCTGGCTAATTTTTTTTATTTATTGTAGAGACAGGTTTTGCCAAGTTGGCCAGGCTGATCTCTAGCCCGTGGACTCAGGCAATCCTCTCACCTCTGCCTCCCAAAGTGCTGGGATTACAGGCATGAGCCACCATGCCCGGCTCTTTTTAAAAAATATTTTGTTTTTCTCATTTTTATTTTAGATCCAGAGGGCACACGTGCATGTTTGTTACATGGGTTTTTTTGTGTGGTGGTGATGGAGGTTGGGTCTGAGAAGGCCCATCCATTCCCCAGAGTTTTCTCTCATTTAAGTAATGTCTTGTGAGAAACCTTGAGGTAGACCTATTTACAATAAGGAGAAAAGTCCTTGACCTATTTATTAAGAGGACAAAACTAAGTTATGTGTATGATGTGAGCACACTTTTGTACAATTAAAAAGAAGCGATGGGTATGACCGTGCACAGTGCAGGGTAAGTCCAAGTATTTCAGAAAGTAAAACTCATTAGGCAATTCTTCCACCCAGTAAAAGGTATGAGTAGGCTGGGCACAGTGACTCATTCTTGTAATCCCAGAACTTTGGGAGGCTGAAGCAAGAAGATCGCCTGAGCCCAGGAGTTCAAGACCAACCTAGGCAACATAGGGAGACCTTGTCTCTACAAAAAAAATTTTAAAAAAATCAGCTGGGTGAGGTGTCATGCGCTTGTAGTCCCTGCTACTCGGGAGGCCAAGGCAAGAGGAACACTTGAGCCCAGGAGGTCAAGTCTGTGGTGAACTGTGCCACTGTGCCACCGTACTCCAGCCTGGGCAATAGAGTGAGACCCTGGCACAGGAAACTATGAGTAACAGTTTGATGTAGATTCTTTTCAGCTTATTTCTATTTTTGTACCAATATATAGAATTTTTTTAGTTCTCAGAATTTTGGCAATGTGATAATACTTAACAACAGCCTTATTTGATTTTATAGTACAAGGGAGGACCCCAAAAAACCTGGAATGCAATTATAAAAAATTGTGTTTTCTTATATGTTTAAACTTTAGTCATCTTCAAAGCACACTCTGTTGAATGCAATACACCTATTGAGAGGTTTCCCACTGCTCAAAATATTTTTGATCTTGTTAATTTTGACGCCTTTTGTGCTTTCTGCTGTTTTTTGTTTCACCTTTTCTTTTTCCTTTTTTTTTTTTCCTGAGCCCGAGTCTCACTCTGTCTCTCAGGCTGGAGGGCAGTGGCATGCCTCCCGTGCACCGCAGTCTGGACCTGCTGAGCTCAGGTGATCCTTCCACCTCAGCCTTCCAAGTAGCTGGAACTACAGGCATGCACCACCACTCTCAGCTAATTTTTTGATTTATTGTAGAGATGGGATCTCGAACCTATGGACTCAGGTAGTCCTCTCATCTTGGCCTTCCAAAGTGCTGGGATTATAGGAATGAGCCACCATGCCCCATTTCACCTTTTCCGCATCAGCAAAATGTTTCCCTTTGAGAACTTTTTTCATCTGGGGAAACAAAGTCACTTGGGGTGAGAATGGGTGAATAGAGAGGGTAGGGCATAGGAGTCATGCCGGTTTTGATAAAAAACTGATAAATAATCAATATGGTATGGGCAGGTGCATTGTCATGGTGAAAAAACCAGTCACCTGTTTGCCACAGCTTGGGACATTTCTTCTGCAGATCGTGACACAACCTTCTCAAAACTTCCAGATAAAAACTTTGGTTGACTGATCCAGAAGAAAAAATTCCAAGTGTACAATCCCTCTCACATCAAGGAAACAAATAATCATTTTCACATTTGACTTTATTTGTTGTCCTTTTTTAGTCATGGGGAAGTGGCAATTTTCCACTGGCTAGCTTGCAGTTTTGCTTTGGGGTCATAACCATAGCACCAAGATTCATCTCCGGTTATGAATCAGGGTCATAAAAAAAAATCAGGGTCAGCCTCCAACTGTTCCATGCAGCCAAGTGATGGTCTCCTTGTTCAGATGTGAGCAAGCGAGGCAGGATTTTGCTGAAACTCATTTCATGCCCAAATTTTCAGATAAAATTTGCTGGTAGGAACTCCACAACATCCTAGTTTACCCCGAAAGTTCATCAACACTCCAACAGCGGTCTTCCAAAGTGGCTTGATGAATTCTTAACGCATTTTCTTCAGTTCAGCAGGTTAGAGGACACCCCCCCCAGAACAAGGTTGATCATCAATTGACATCTCACTTAGCTTAAAACAGGAAAACCATTTAAACTTGTATTTTACTCAGAGCAGCATCTTTGTAAGCTGCCTGTAGCATAGAAACAATTTCTGCTGCATTTTTCACCAACAGAAAACAAAATTTCACTCCACACATCATGAAATAGGCAAATACATTGAAAGAATCTCCAAAAAGAAATTCACCGAAACTGGATGCAGCCTCGCACAATGCTAGCTGGAACACTGATGCCGATAGGTTCTTAGAACACTTAGCAGGGGAAGCCTGTTCACCCTCCAAAAGATAATTCTGAGTTTTTCTGAGTCCCCCTCATATATATTGGGCACATTTAGAAACTGCATCATGGTAGCTCTGTGGAAAAACAAAACAGTATGTACAGGTCTGGCTCATTGATTTAAAGGACTGTATGTTATTTCACTATATAGTTGATATGACCACTGTTTATATAGTTGGACTCCCCTTGGTGGATTTTTATTTCTAGTTGACACATAATAATTTTACAAACTTATGAAGGTTACAATCTGATATTTCAGTACCTGTATACAATGTGTAATGATCAAATCAGGGTAATTAGCATATTCATCACCCACCAAAATGAGCATTTCTTCATGGTGAACATCTAAAATTCTCTCTTCTAGCTATTTAAAAGTATAAATTTTTACTTCACAATGCTGTAGAACACGAGAATGCATTCCTCCATCTGGCTGTGGTTTGTATCAGTGAACCTACTTCTCCCTCTCTGCCATCCCCCTACTCGTCATGGTCACTAGCTGCCACGGTCTCTAGCTGCCACTATTCTGCTACCTACTCCATGAGATCAACTTATGTAGTTTCCATGTATGATTGAGAACATGGAGGGTGAATCTAGGTGGCAGGGCTGGAGATTCTCCTCTCTTCTGAGTGTTGTTTTCTATAATCTTTTGCTGGATTTTGTCCCTTTGCCTGTTTTTTAAACTTGTTCTTGGGATCTCTGTACTTGACCTTATTCCCAGGTGATCTCTTTTACTTCTTTTAACTTTTTTTTTTCCTGCTGGCACCCAGACCTTTAGCTCCAACCTCTTTTTAAGCCCCAAGAAACAAATGTTTGTATTTGGGGGCCAGATACAAATCCTGAAAATTCACCTCTCCTTCAGTGCATTCTGCTGTTTCTTACATGTATAGCACAGCTGGAGGGTTATCCCTTGATTCAAACTCTGCCTCTGCTACTTACTAGCTGTGGACCTGGAATTCTGTCTCCATGTTTTAGGGACTCTCAAGGGTTCCTTGAGACACTATGTATCCCACTGTGTATCTGGCACCATGCTTGGCATTTTATAAATGGTCAGTCACTGGCAGCTGTTGTAACCCCCCATCCCCTCCCACGCACACACCTGGTTAGACCCTTTACTCAGCATATTGTCAAGTCTGCAATTTAAGTCTTTGCAATCCGGCCCCACCCCTCTGTCCTCAGAACCCTTTCCTGCAACCTCATGCTCTGCTGACTCTGGTAAGTTCTCTCTGGTTGTTTTACCTCTAGTTTTATCCTCTCTGGACTCTGGTTTACAGGAGCAGGTTTCAAACACTCTAATTATGGCAAGAGTCTGGTGAGATTAGGCAGGGCAGGGAGGAGGGGGGCAGGCCCTTGGGGTGTATGAGCTCTGCTTCCTCAGCTGTGATGCAGGCTTGGGCTGCTGGAGTTTCCTCATGTCTCTCACTTCCTCCACATCCCCTCAGCCCATCCACATGCCTCCCACCTAGATGTGGACTGGCTGGGAGGTACTGCCTTGTCACTGAAGTGGATGGGGTGGGGTGGGCCTGAGATTTGTGTCTCTTTCAGAGCAGTGCAACTCTGAAACTTGTCCTGTTGAGAGAAAAATAAGATTGACTGTTCCTGCAAAAACTGTAAAGCCTGTGGAAAACAAAGGTGGGTTGACTGGCTTCAGACAAAGCTAGAAAGGTTTTCATATAGAAGTCAGAATCAGTGGAAAGGAAGAAAAAGAGACCAGGGTTGGGTAGCGAGTCCAGAATGATGGCTTCATGGGGTGCTCCTTAGCCCAGATCCCCAGGAGAGGGCCATGTGTGATGTTGAGGGAGCAGCCCAGAAGCAGAGTTCAGGAGAAGAAAATAGGGTAGGCCACAGAGGGGAGAGGCCATGCGGTGGTTGGGGTTTGTGGTAAGCCCTGCTGCTGGAGCTTTCTCTACCTCAGCTTCTGGATGGGGTTGCCACCTGAGGAGCTAGGCCCAGGCAGGAGGCCCCTCAGAGCTTACAGCACTTGTGTGCTGTCATGCATCCAAGAGTTCTTTAGCACCTCCTGGATGTCAGGCATCATGCCAGCCTCTGAAAGTAGCCTCCATGGGGCACCAGAGTTATTGAACATTTGCAGCAAAGGAGTGGCTTATTCCTGCTCTAAGATACTTCCAGGTTGGGTTCAGGCATTCCAGCAGTTTCTGACCATTTTGAAAGCAAAGGGATGCTGCTTGGCTGGTTTTTACAGAGCACCTAATTTACTGGCCCATCGCAGTGTTGGAGCCATGGTGAGGGGGAGGAGGGTGATAATTACAAAACCAGGCTCCAAGCCTGAAGACCACAGGGAAACATGTAGAGGAAGCATGTAAACACAAGGATGCATTTGCTCAAATCACCAATTCTTCATTTCCCCTCCCTTTTCTAAGAGGATTATTTGTATAGTTACAAACTCCAGAGAAGAAAGGTTATTTTTGCTTGTTTTGTCTATACCTGATTATATGCCCCTGTGGCTGTCCCATGCGTGCATACACATTTTTGATCTGTTGATGTAGTTGCTGAACTTGGTGCCCAGGCCTCCTGTTTAGTCATAAGCAGTTGATTGTTATGTATTCCTTAGATGATGACAACTCTATAGCTGATTTTCTCAGTAGTGATGAGGAAGAGGACAGAGTTTCTTTGCAGAATTTAAAGAATTTAGGTAAGTCTGTGCTGTGCTTGTTTTTTTCAACCACTGAGATACATTTGCTGTATTGTACGGAATGTGATTTTTTGTTAGTAAACCCTTCACACACCTCAGCCTGCCCACAGCTCAAGTCCCTCTGCCTGCAATCCTACCCGTCTTGCAGGTTGGCAAAATTCTGTTCCTCCTTCAAGGATTGTTCAGCTAAGCGTCTCTTGATGTTTTGTTTGTTTCAGAATGAGGCATTTTGGCTTCCCATAATCTTGGACTTACTATTGACATGCCACTCACGTTTCAGTGTCATTTGTCTTTCACATACCCATTTGTACGGAACATAACTCAGTGTCCAGTTTATAGCCCAGCTGTTCATGCAGACTGGTAACCACATGATTTGATTCATAGGGGAAACAGTGTTAATAGTGCCCAGCAGTTTTGTAGTACTGCTCACTCAATCCTTGTAACAGTTATTTGTACATTTATCATTAATGGGCTAATGTAGTTCCTCAAGGGGAGGGGAGTGTTAGTTTCATTCATCCTAGTTCACAGAATCAGGCTAAAAGGTCGTACTTTACCCAAGTCCCATGGTAGTTATTAGACTGAGTTTGGAGCTGAGCTAGTAATGAGTGTGAATAATGTTATAGATTGTAAAGTGCCATATAGGGGTTGGTGTTTGTCCACTGCTACTGCTGCTTCTGGACTGTGAGCTTAGACATCATTCAGAGTATTTGGTATCACTGCCCTCACCACTAAGAACCTTTATGCCTGTAAGGAAAGAAAACATGCCAACAACTTAATGCTATTGTTCTGTATATTTGTGCTGGTAAATCATTTTTTCTTAGCTGAAATGGCATGAGGTTACAGTATCTACACAGATAACCAAGAGGTATGTTGCTGCATTTGACTTGGACATCATTTGATATGACTCTCTCACCTTGCTTACATGTGAAGCATTGGGGTTGATTTGTAAGTTTAAAGGTTAAGGAGATGCAGCCTCTCAGTCGTTTTATATATACTTAAAATGGTTCGCCTCAGCCATCTTCAGGTGTTTCCATTTGAACTCAGTTTGGCTTCTTTTGTTAATTCTGAAGGGGAGTCTACAGTGTTAAGAAGGTTGTTGCTGAATCCACACCTGAGACAGTTGTTGGTTAGCCTCGACCAGGGGGACGACAAAGCGAAGCTCATGAGAACCTACATGCAGGAACCCTTGTTTGTGGAGTTTGCAGACTGCTGTTTGAGAATCGTGGAACCACCTCGGAATGAGGATGCTTGACTCCCGGAACCGGCCCACTCCTCTTCCAGGAGATCAGCTGGGAGAGGCTTGGGGAGACTCATAAGTGAGAGAGGAGACTTCCAGAATGCAGACTGGCTAATGCAGGTTGTCCACGTCTTCACCTTCATCAACGTGGCTCATGTTTCAGGCATGTTGCAGCCCTCAAGGTGGCAAATACTTTGAGAGAAAACCTGACATTCAGATAGTTGTTTTTAAACGTTTTATTTTTGGTACATTGATAAATGTAAATGATACCAAGTTTTTCACTTGATATTGAGTTAAAAACTTCATCAGTGTTACTAAAAAAATCAAGATGTGATGGTTCTTTTGTACATTGCATTGTTCACAATGTTAAAAATTACATTAAATAAGTCAACAACTTATTAAATACTGAGTTTTATTCCTGTTTAAGGATCAAAACACAAAATCTTACCCAGCCCAAATTTGAACCAATTTTAGGCTGATTTTGTGTATCTTCCTCCAAAAGTGCTTATGTGAATTATAGTGACAGTACCCTAGGATGGACAGTCATGTCAACCGCTGAGTTTGATCTATGCAGCTAGTGGAATGTGAAGTTCTAAGGGCCCTGGATTGGTAACTGCCAGCTCTGATGCCATCAGTGTTTGATGTGGCCACATGGCCCTTGCTCGCAGGCTGGAGCCATCAGTCGCTTTCACTCCACATGCGCTTAGAGTAGGCTGTGGGAGGGATTTGGCAGCTGTGTGTCTTTGGCAAAGCAGCTGGCAGGAAGAGACCTTGTGGAAACAAAGGCACCAAGGATCACCTAGCCAGGTGAGGGTAGAGGGCAAGGTCACACGTGGACTGGTCTCTGTCTTTCCAGCAGAATCTGATTAAAGCCAGTAACACTGTAGGGCGAAGGTTCAGGGCAGATGTCAGCATAGCGCAGTGGAGACTTTCTGCAGTGAAACTTTACTGATCCCTGGGGGGGGGAGATGCAGTTTAGCCCCAGCTCCTGGGAGGCCAAGGCCTATGGCACCCCCACAGAGTGCAAGAAAGGCAAGAAGCTGTGGACAAGCAAGTACTCTCACTGGTGTGAGAGCCACAGCAGTGGGCAGGACTCAGTCAACATTTTTTTCTCCTTATTCTAAGATAGTGACAAAACCCAAAGCAGTATTAGAATTTCACGTTCAGTCAGCGTAAGACAGATTAGAAATCCTAACAGGGAACTCTCCCTTGCTAGAATATCTCACATTCCTGTGCCTGCTTCAAACTGGAAGATCAAAACACTGACACTGTTTACACTCTTGCTAGCCCGTGTGTTTCCATGAGGGATTTTAACCAGAAGGCCTATGGTAGCTCCTTAAATGCAAATGCACTGTTGCCTTCCTTCTGCCTCATCGCCTCGCTTACTCCTTGTGACCCCATGTGATAGGATGAGTATGAGCTCATATGAGAGATGAAATGGAGGCTCTGAGAGATGGTGTGCCTTGGCCACAGTCATCAAGGAAAGGGGACGGAGCCAGAACACAGACCCGGGAGTTCTGCCTCTGAGCGTAACACGCCTTCACCTTTCCTCAGCCAGGTTACTTCTATGGGCCTGGTTAGCTGGGGTGAACCACAGAACACAGAGTGTGCTGGCTGACTCTTCCCTGGCTGCTCTGATAAAAACGGAGAACCTGGGTAATTGACTCACTTGCTTGTCATTTCCTCAGCTGTAAAAGCAGAAAAACCACGTAAAAAAATTTGAGGAAAACATGGAAGCAAACCTAGTGGCATCTGAGGTAACAAACTGTCACAAGCCAACTTTTTTGAAAGTGGGACTAGTTAAAGGAGTTTCAGAGGTGATGCTATACCACTTCAAGGCAGTTTTTAAAAAGTGAAGGGGCATCTGGGCTCAGTGGCTCAAGCCTGTAATACCAGCACTTTAGGAGGCCAAGGCGAGAGGATTGCCTGAGCTCATGGGTTTGAGACCAGCCTGTGAAACCTGGCGAGATCTCGTCTCTGCAATAAATCAAAAAATAAGCCAGGTGTGGTGTTGCGCGCCTGTAGTTCCAGCTACTTGGAAGACTGAGGTAGAAGGGTCGCCTGAGCTCAGCAGGTTGAGGCTGTGGTGGCTGTGAGTGTGCTACTGCACTCCAGCCTGAGTGACAGAGTGAGACTCCAACCCCAAAAAAACAAAAACAAAAAATAGTGAAAGGGGCCGGGCTCGGTGGCTCAGCCTGTAATCCCAGCACTTTGGGAGGCCGAGGTGAG